CCCACAATGCAGTTCGGCGAATCATGACGTCACCCCATTCAAAGTGAATGGGCAGAAGCGTTGAAGCGGCAACGCACGCCGCCGTAGAGCATGCAAAAGTTGAGGGGAAAATGGCCGGAGCCGGGTCCACCAAAGCCCTTTTCCCCCCGTTTGAAAATATGAAATGCTCTTTCGCCTAACATTTGCAGGAGCAAAAACGCTTTGATGGAAAGGCTTCAGTAAAAATGGATGTTAAAAGTCATTGCTTGGTGTTCTTAGTTGGTGCAATTTGAGAACTATAACAGTATTTTTAATTTGTAAAAGTAGAAATTAAAATTGTCCGCAGGATTGCAGTTTTTGTTTTGTTTTGCCAGTCTTTTACTGAAGCATGCTACTGGGATCTGACCTGTTCTTTATCCTCCTCATTACTATACAGAACGTCGGATTTTGTATAAATTCACTACGGCACTAAACTAATTGATATGTTTGTGTGTTTCCACTGGGTACTCCTTAGACATCCGACATTGTGTCTCACCGAAAGACAGCAGCACTGAGAGGCCTGCCGAGATGACACAACCAAGTTTCTTCTGGAGTGTTTGGTAAGTAATACTAACTGTAGGAAATAAACTTATTAACACAATACAAGTAATATTGCTTAATGTAGCTTAAACATTTTATGACCTCATAGCTTATGCTAATCATTTATGCATAATACACTTTGTGTAAGATTTATTTTGAGCCCAGAGATGTTTTCACCTCATGAACCCGAGCGCGATGAGTTCACCCAAAATTAAAAATAAATATCAGCGCTGTTTGAGCAACAGCCAACCCGATACAGCTGGCCATTGTTGTCTGGTGTTCTTTATCAGAAAATACTTCTTTATAGAACTCGGCACAACAAGGTTGGTGGGTGATAGCCGCCGTGCTGTTGAGTTGCAATTATAACTTCCACAAGCTGAATGTTAAGACTCAGTAGCTTGGTGCTAAAGTTAGAATCAGTGGATATGTATTTTGTCGTTTAGTTTTCCATAGCATTCATTCATGCATATTTTACTTTTCCTCAGGACACTGACCATGAAGAACGATTGCTCAGAGGTGTGTCTGTGGCCATCCTCACCGTCATTGAAGATGATGATGCCGCCATATCGCCAAATGGGCGAGACGTGGCTGTTGTGTGGGAAGGGACCATTGTACTGCATGACCTACCAGACCTCTCTACTGCCTTTGCATACCTCTTTGGCCTACTTTATGCAATGAACATGGATTATCCAAAGGAGATGAGGTATACCTTTGAAGCCATTCAGACTATCTTTTACGAGCTTGGCTCTCGATGCTCGCAGTGCATAAGGTCTCGGAAAACAAAGCTTTTGCTGTGAATGTTAATGGGGAAGCCAGACATGACTTTAATCTATGTTTCGCCTGTTCTAGTGCATCGTGGTTAGTGCTCATGTAAAACCTCACAGCATTCATTTCATTTTAAGCATATAAGTTGTCTTCTGAAATAGAGAATCAAAGAATGTGTGGATGTGTAAGTTGCCAGTTCAAAAGAGGGGCATATCCAGTATTTCTACTGTTCAAGTTCATTGTTAGTGATCAGGTAAAACTTCAATGTATGTACATGCTTGCACATGCAGTCATTTTAAGCTTGAAGTCCCATTTGCCTGTGAAATTGAAATGTGTGGAATTGTGAGTTGCCAGTTGACAAGAGGCACTGGATTGTAATTGTTATATTTGTTTATTCTTAAATTCTTTGATTGTGATGTGCTGAAGAGGCTGAGGCCTGATTTATCACAATGATGTCAGGTGTGTGAATCCTATTTTGACCTGATGGATAAAAGCAGAAGCAGAAACGCTCCTCAGAATCTGTGTTCAAAGGCCACCATCATTTTCTGTTTAAAGCAGCTTTGCTAGATGTTTATGATGTCAAGAAATGTCCTTAACTTTTTTCAAAATCCATATCTTCAGCATGTGAAGAATGCATGTTGTCAACGTCTAGCAAAGCTGCTTTAAACAGAAAATGATGATGGCGTGGGGACAGCGAGACACCGAGGAACTCAGCCTGAGCACACACACACACACACACACTCACAGCCTGGCTGTTTGTGTGGAAATCCGCGGAGCCGTGGCTGAGAAAAGATAAGGCTGAGTGAGTGTGTGTGTGGACCAATCCGTGGAGCCGTTACGTCACTATGCCCGTTACGTCACTTTACTCAGGGAGAAAAAAATGGAAAAAGAGAAATCTCCAACGAGGCGTTCTGGGGCAGCATAGACAGGTCTTTTCTGTGTTTTACTCCCTACAGGGTGTACTTTGAAGGTTTGTGACTCTGCAGACCGTTTACATGTGATTGTTTTGTGTGCTAAAGTTGAAAAGAGATGTCAACATGTTCATATAATTGAATTCAATCATAATAAATAACTGAATAAATAATGGGCTCTTTTTTTGTTTGTTCATTTTAGTTCATTTTCAATGTCTGACATCAATGTTGATTGCATTCTTCTGCGTGACAATATCTCAATGTTGATTCAATGACTTTTTGCTATCCGATAATAACATTGTTTCAATGTATAATGCAACGCATACTAGTTGAATCAATGTTTATGCAATTCAACATCCTTTCAATGTTGATCATATCGAAATTGAATCAAGTTTGATTCATTGTTGGGATTGATTGAAAATGCAATGTTCTTTCAATGCTGATCACAGCGAGCACTTTCACTGTTAATTTCAATGTCTGACATCATAGCGTGACAATATCTCAATGTTGATTCAATGACTTTGCTATCTGGGAAACCTTTCCTCTTTAAATTATTGTATTTGTCACATTTTTACTGTCCTACAAAAAATATTTTTGTACAATCTAATTTATCTTGTCTATGTATGCACCATTTTCACCAAAGCCAATTCCTTGTATTGGTGAACCTATTTGGCAATATATCTGATTCTGATTAGCTTTCTGAAAATCAGGCCCGCTATACAATAGAGCTAAATAGTCCTGGTCTATAGACTTTTTTTCAAAATGTTCATCAAATCTAGAGCATGGGCACTGACTTAATTGAGGACATGATATTTTATGGGAGCTTTCTTATTCATGATGCTTAGACTGTAGCGTCGCTGGCAGTGGCTCAGTCAGTAGGGGCTTGGACTGGGAATCGTAGGGTTGTTGGTTCAAACCCCCGAACAGACCTATGTATGGATTGCTACTTGGAGAGGTCCCAGTTCACCTCCTAGGCCCTGCCGTGGTGCCCTTGAGCAAGGCAACCCCCCCACCCCCATTGCTCCCCTGGCGCTGTACAATAGCAGCCCACTGCTCCTAGTACTAGACTCCTGGTACTAGGATGGGTTAAAAGCAGAGAACAAATATCACTTTGTAAAATAAAGAGGGTTTCATCCTCCGATTCTATTCATAACTGCATTTAAAACACAAGAAGTAGCAACACCAATACATCCCGAACGGGCAATGCACTGATCCGAATCAGAAATGCTTTTTTAGTCCCAGGGGAAATGTACATCGTCAAAGAGACAATAATGACACAGAGTTTTTATTATGTGGAATCAAATAATAATTACACAAAGAGTAACAGCATTATAACAAGTGAAAGAATTAGAAAGTAATGAAGTAGCTGCAGGATGACTGTGTTAAACACCATAATTACTATAGGTAAAATATTGCAGTGTTATATTAAAGGTGTTTTTATGTTTCACAAAATATTGCACAAAATATGTGTTATGTCTGTGCAGTGCAAATAATGACGAGCCACCTAAACAGGTTTTTTAAATTGTATTTTGAAAAAAGAAGAAGATTGCTCTGTATGGCTTGATCTTAACACACCACCTTGCCTGGCCTACAGTGCACACTGAACTCAGCATGAACACAAGGCGGGTTTTCCCCATTCATGAACACTGACTCATCATCCCTGTGCTTTTCGGCCACCAGCAGCGGCAGGAAACATATTTTACAAATCTCATGTTGCCTGTTGCCTCCGCTGTTCCTAAAAATAACCAGGCATCACCCTCCCCCCCCCTCTTCCTCCCTCCCTCCTCTCCTTCATCCCCTCCACATGGTTACAGTTAAGTACATAAATCAGGCGCCGGGGCTGGTGTGAAGCGGCGGACTGGCAGCAGACAGCGCGCACACATGCTCTTCACTCCGCCGCGGCTCGTCGCTGCCACTGCAGCCGCTGCAGCTCCGCACACCGGCGGCTCTTCTCCAGCACTCGGAGGCAGAATGGCGTGAGACCAGACACCACGGACTCGTCTCTTACGGCCGATGCGCGATGGTGTTCTGACTGTCTGCCTGTCTGTGTGTGCGTCCGTGCGTCTTGCAGCGAGATTACTGCAGTGCTGTTTTTCCAGGTATTGTGGCGCGCGTGTGTGTGAGAGTGAGTGAGTGTGTGCATGGTGGTTCTCGAATTGGACTAAGCCGGGAGTCTGATGTCACATGTGCTTCATCGGAAGAGACGGGGCATCTGCAAGCGGGATTTTGTGGAGGATGCTGCGGCAAGTGATACACAGAGGGCTCAAGGCTTCGTTCTACTGGCTGGGCTTATTCGTTAGCAGGCACCCCGTTTTTTTCCTCACCGTCCCCGCGGTGCTCACCATCATTTTCGGATCTACCGTGCTGAGCAGATTCAAGCCGGAGACGGACCTGGAGGTGCTGGTTGCCCCGACGCACAGCCTGGCCAAGATCGAGCGGAGTCTCGCCAACAGCCTGTTTCCCATCGACCAGTCGAAGCACAAGCTGTACTCGGATTTGCACACCCCGGGCAGATATGGCAGGCTGATCCTGCTGGCCAAGTCCGGGGGGAACATCCTGGAGCTGGCCGACCAGGTCCTGCAGGTCCACAAGCAGGTGTTGGATTTGCACGTGAATTACAAGGGATTCAATTACACGTTCGCGCACCTCTGTGTGCTGAGCCACCGGGACAAGCGCTGCCTCTTGGATGATATCATCACCATCTTCGAAGATATCAGGCAGGCTGTGCTCTCCAACAGCACTTTCCATAAGGTGCCCGTGAGCTATCCAAACACAACGCTAAAGGTGAGATTTAATTTGCATAACTGTCAAGCCAGGCCAGGCCTACACACTCCTACCCCCCTTTCCCAAAACACCTCCCCATCAGATTTGTGGTGACAGAGCAGCAGCAGCAGCAGCAGCAGCATGTAGCAGGCTGGCCCTCTTTCTGAATGGGCTCCTGTTAGCTCAGGCTGTGATGGGGGGCTGCAGATTGTCACATATCAGATGGTGAGTGAACCCTCTCCATTACACACAGCCGGCTTTGCCGTTTTCACCCTCCCTTGTTGGTGCACGTGAATTGGTTGGTTGCATGTACTGCCTGCTCTCTGTCCTTACACACATTCTCACACACACACACACACACACACACACACACACACACACACACACACACACACACACACACACACACACACACACACACACACATAGGGCTGTGCAATTTAATCGATCCTGCGATATATATCGATATTTTGTTTCCCGAGAAAGTATCGATATTTCAGCCGCGGG